TGGGTGACCTTGTGAATGCTTTAAACATGTTTAGAATAGCATAAGAAACCACTTTGGTATTCATGACTAAGTCTTGTTTAGTCTCTAAGTCATGGATATGGTGTATGACATTATTTTAAAGTGCCATGTTTGACCTAGTTTGAATGATGTCATAGAGTCTTTGCATGACAGTGAACCTTTAAGCAAAGTTGTAGTATTTGAGTAGGGAAACAACTTTTATATGTGGGTCTTGAGCTAATTACATGCATAGCTTAGTCATTTTGTGCTCACAAAATCAACAATTCATCGGTTTTCAAAGACTTAGAATTTTTCTAAGTCCTTCTCGGTTTTCCAGTTTCGCAGGCTTGACTTTGCCATGATATTACTCGGTATTGGTGGGGAATTAGGACTCGATCCTTTAATAGAAGTTGAAGATGGTATATAGGTCTACGACTTTGATTTAGATTGTTTTCAATTTTGCTTCGCGGTTTAGGAGAACGAGCGTCATCAAATCATGTCGTCGAGGCTAGGATCATGGTCCGATGGCAGATCGGTTCGGTCTTGATGGCCGACCGCATGCAGAAGCTCGGCTGCCCGTGGAGGCCACATGTCACCGACGTCTGTCGAGCCAAAGCCACATCGGGCTGCTTGGCGCCTCAACATGCCCCGACTCGCCCGCTCCCTCCACGCTCTCATTCGGTTTTCTGTCTTCTCCTTCGTCACCCACGCAAGCAGTAGCAAGCGCCAGCAGCTCCACCGGAGCCTTTGGCAAGACAAAGCTCGCCCACGTCGTGTAATTGCCACCGTTCAGCCGCCACCGTAGCCCCCTTCCGTGCGTCCACCTCGCCGTTGAGCCGTTTGAGTCTTGGTAAGGGCACATTGGCCATTTCCACCGCCCGCCATGGTGAGGTCTCACCGGAGTTGGAGCTCTCACGCGCCAACTACCACCGAGGCTTTCTCGTCATCCTCTTTTTGCGTGGGTAGCACCGTAGCGACCCCTATAGCTCGTGGCAGTGCTCGGTGGAGGGAGCCATGGTTTGCCATCGCCGGCATCTCATGGCGGGAGCTCTCACTGTGCCGCCATCACCGGGTGACGCGCCACCTCCGCTAGGTCTTAGGTCTCTCTGGTAGCAGCAATCGAGTCACCTCGTCACGGAGATCACGCCGGTGCCGTCGGTTTCGCCGGAGGAGCCGCCGTCGGCGAGCTTCACCGTGGCCGCGTCGTCGCGTACGCCTCCCTTGTTTTTGTCTCGCTGACAAGCGGGTCCGGCTGACACGCGGGTCCCACGCGTCAGTGACAGTGTAGTGATAGGCTAGTTCAAATTTACATATTTCTATGCTGTTTTGTGAATTTTGTAGCTGCAAATGTGTAGATCCAAATGGTGTGATTCAAATTTTGTTAGACTCACAAGGAAGTCTAGTATTTAAGAAAAATATGACATGAGCACATGATATAGAAATTTTGGATGAATTAAATAGGAAACTGAAATGTGTTTTTAAATGCATGCAAACTTGTTTAAATCATATCTTGAGTTTCTGTGGTCCAAAAATTATGAAATTTTGTGGGTAATCTAGTCTTGCTTAGTAGAAGCTCTGGTAAAAATTTTAGAGTCATTGCATGTGTGGTTTTTGAGTTATAGATTTTCCTTTCATCATTGATTGATACTTGTGTAAATTTTTGTAAATTATCTAGGAATCCTATGACCATGAAATTTTGTGGAGAGTATCCCAGTACCTTAAGGATGTTAGAAAAAATATAAAATCTGTTGCTTGGCACTTTTAACTAAGGTTTTCTATTTATGCCTTTTTAAGCACTTATGCCTTGTCATTTTTGTGTAGGCTATTTTACTTATCCAAATGCCATGAAAATTTATGGTAGTCTACTTAGAGTAGTACTATGCTACTGTAATTTTCTCAAATTTTTATGAGCACCAGAAATATATGTTGCTGTGTAGCCCTAGTTTAAAATGAAATCAAATGATCTTCTTTAATGCGAGTTTAGTTAATAATGTTCGCTTTAGTGTATCTTTGAAACATCGTAGTTTGCTGTGGTGATTTGGCATGTTAGTACAGTGGTTGTCGTAGTAGATAGTAGTACATGTTCTTGGATGATGTTGACTACCTTGTAGAAGAGCTTTGCTACTACTATGTCCAATAAAGTTAAACATGTTCATCTACATTTCATGCATCATGATCATTACATGTCATCTCTCCGATGCACCTATGCATTAGCACTTATACATCTACATTATACAGGATAGCAGGAGGAGTTGCTAGTAGCAGTTTAGGAAGAGCAGACCGGGACAGATCCACAAGAAGTCCACGCACAGGAGGTGCCAGAGGAAGAGGAGCCGGGAGAGGATTTGCCCGAGTGCGTGGATCATCATCCTAGTTCGTTCGAACGAGGCAAGCCCCGGAGCATTCTAAGTCTCCTAATTTACAAAAGCAATAATTTCGATATATATGAGTTATATATTGTTGCATTAAGTTGTAGGAGTTGATTGAAACCGTTGATGTATTTATTACTATCCTTGCCTACCTTATTACCTTTTACCCTGTTAGGTCAGGATCGAATAACTGCTTAGCCTTGCTTAGACCGGTAGCGATCGGTGATATCCGTTCACCTACATTATAGGTGGTTAATGGAAGAATTTAGCTATGGAAAGAATGATATCCTGGAATTAACCATATGTGATGGAAAAATTGGAGATCGGACGGAAAAGTTGGAGGCAACCATACAGGGTTCTGGGGTGCTGTTAGTTTCTGTCTGTGTCGATTAAGGACCGATCGTTGCTCATCCCTCTTGTCATGTTGAACGCATGCCTCACATTTAGCTGGCCGAATAAAGTACCTTTCGACCGCGAAGCTGGTGGCACCTTTCGGGCCGGATCTACACGAGTGCGCGTATTGGTGCTGATGGGGGTATGACAGGGGCGCGAAGGGTGAGCCCAAGGGCAGGTGCGACCTGATTCCTGGCAGTCGGGCGGTCCCTGGGTACTGCGGCTCCAGATTGTCCCACAGCTATATGAAAAGTGTCATTGGTGATCTGTAGCTCACTTGATCGGTGAGTGTGGTTTGCGTGAGGAATAAATCACCAGCTGGTTAGGAATTGATTCGAATCGCCATCGCTCCTGGATAGGAGCACTTGACTCGAGCTACGGCATCGTAGTAATTATGATGGAACACTAATGGTTATCTGGATGATATGGACATGCTAAAGCTAAATTGGTGACTGGATGTTATTGGTTAATCAAGTGATTGCTATAGTACAGGTGCTTACCTAGATGAATAGGTTACAATAAAGATGATGCAAAGTATTTAAAATGATGTCTTCATGATAACTTATGCTTTTCGCAAATAAGTTAGCTAGCCCACTAAAGAAAGCCTTGCATAATCCTTGGTGTCGCTTTATTTTGGTTTAAGACGGGTAAGTCTAGCTGAGTACCTTCTCGTACTCAGGGCGTTGTTCCCATTGTTGTTGCAGATGGTCAAATGTACTACGGCTATTGCATTAACTGCCTGTACCCGGCGATGGGTGACAACTAGGACCAAGGGCAATGGTCACTCCGTATCTCTCATCTAATGCTTTTGTTGGAGATGACTACCTACTGGCATTGTATCTGAACTAAAAGTGTGTGTGTGGCTTTAAAACTATTTGCTTCCGCTACTTCAGTTTGAACTTGGGTTGTAATAAATTTATGTTCTAAACTTGATGTACCGAACTGTGATTGCGAACTTTATGTAACGTGTGACGGTACTTGCTAAACTTGTACGATCTTGGTTTGTATGTCGATTGGTTTGAAATCCTTCGTGGTTTCACGGACTACCGGGTTATACGGGCTTAAGTTTGCTAAATTATCTGCTTCGGCGGAAGGTTTTCTTACTTAATCTCGTATAATTGGTCGGTTCTGTTACAATCGTTAGCACCATGATTTGCTAGATATCACTTAAAAAGCAAAAGACACTAGATACCTCATGAGATCAATATTAGAAACAAGGTTCTAGTACTACTTGTAAAATCAATTCAAGTGTCTAGTTAACCTATGCATGCTAGTTTTTATTGCATAAATTATTTTTTACAATCTAGCATACACCACACAAGCATGGATATTTGAATGTAAAACTTGTGCCATGCAAGCAAACATATGTAATGTACATACAAATGCAACATACAAATTTATGAGATTGCACCCCCTACTTGTGTGCTTCAAATTTTAATTGATCCCCTTTCTTTCTCCTATCTTACTGCCTTTGGGTTTCTCTCTCCCTTTCTTTGTGAATTACTTCTCCCCCTTTGTCATCGATGACCACAAAAGGTGAGCTCAAATTTTAGATAGTTTGGGGTGAAACCATGTTAAGTGAGGATTATTTTTCCATATTCGGTTCAATTTAGATCACTTGCAAAAGATATTTAACTAGGTTTGATGCAAGGATAAGCTTCTTCACACCTCATTTCATGAGTTATCTTGACCATGTTGAGTTAAACACTTATAGCTTATTTAAAAAAAATTCCCAAAAAAAAAAGTGAAGCCGTTTTTAAAGAAACCTAATCACAAATCTATTGGACCTCACAAATCATCCAAACACAGCACTCAGCCCATTAAAACCTAGTCCGTTACATTGTCTTTATATGGCCTATGTATGAGGCCCAAAGGGCCCACCGGGTTTTTACCCCGTCTTCTTCTTCTGGTTCTGGGGCGACAAGGCCGTAACACTGGGCCCACGAGTCGGCTGATCCGGTGGGGCCTACCTGAGTTCTCACCAGCGACGAGGCTCTCCTCCCCTCCCAGTCCAGCAGGCCTCGCCGTGGCCTCTCCGCCTGGATCGTCCTGTTCGTGCGGCGGCGTCCGAAGTCCGCTGCCGCAGTTTGACCCCGGATCTCGGTCGCTCCGCTGCCTCTGCTCCCGGCCACAGCCGCGCATTCCCCGCTGGGCGGGGCCCTACCTTCCTCTGCTGGTGTCTCAAGCAGCTCGCTCTGCCCCCATTTCCCAGGCGGGGGGAGGCTCGAGGTCGGGGCGGAGATGGGCGGCGTGCCCTGGAAGCGGGTGGAGCTCGCCGCGCTCGTCCTCTACGCGCTGGGCTTCTACCTCGTCGTGATCCGGAAATCGCTTCGCCTCTCGCACGGTACGGCGGCGGCGGCAGCCCTCACCCCCTCCCGTTACCTTCTCAGTCAGCGATTGCCGCTCGTCTCACAGCTGCTTCGCGGGCGGTGCAGATTACTCCGGGAGGCTCTACGGACTACGCCCGGGATCACTTGCGGGGCATCTGAATGTGCGTGACGCTTCGCCAGTCTCTCTGCTAGTGTTCTGTCTCTCATCTGAAGACTACCTAGCTGCCTGCTTGATCTCGTTGCTTTCTGTCGCAGGACCTGTCCGATGCGCAATGGAGAAACTTCCGCGGGAACTTGCCTATTCTGTCCGCTGTAATGGGAACATTTCTGGTATTAGTTAATGGACTGCGGTACTGCTATGGCCTGAAAGGCCGAGGGACCGCCCTGTTGTGGCTTGTGCTGTCCTTGAGCTATCTGTGTTATCTTCACGGTGCTTGGTATGCAACTCGCCAGCCCATTTTGGTTTGGCTTCTTTGCTGTTCCTCCTGTAATCTTCTAACTTGTTTGTCTTAATGGCAGTGTTGTCTTCATTCTTTTAATTTCATTGATTAATTACTCTATTGTCAAGGTCAGTGCTTACATGTTCCCCCACTGTTGCTTCAAACTGTCTTAGTCTTTTCCCCCATGTTGTTTGTATATATACAAAAAGTACTACATATACAGTTAGATAGAAGAATCTGATCTCATTGTCAGTACAACAAACAGTTACTGTTTTGTTTCAGAGTCGATGAACCTATTCTGGAAAATGTGTGTGGTCTGAATGTTGTGTCAAAAGCAGGAAATGACTCCAGTTATTGATACACATAATATCGAGTAGGCGGTAAACAGATTAAAGAAGTGGCCATATTGTAATTATGTGTTTTTAAATCTGTGAATTTATCATATCCATAATCCAGTGCACAATGCCACTTGGTTTGTTTTGTGACATCACTAACTGCTAACTAACATCAGATAAAACCAATCTTAAGGGATGTAGAGTGAGTAAATGAATGGATTTGGAACTTTTGCTACCGTAATTTTGGTTAATATCTGTTTCATTCTCTGGCTGATCATAGTTCTACATTTTGCAGCTATTTGCTCATTATAAGTATTGCACAAGCCTCATTTGGAGCTTCAACTTATCTGTTCTTGTTCTTAACCGAGTTTATGAAGGCTATTCATTCTCATTGTTCGGGTTAGATTCTTTATGCTGCTGCTTCATCTTCCCCTCCTTTTTTTTTTCTCGAATGATGCAGGAGGATTTTTTTCTAAAGTCTCTTTTCATTTTATTTGATGAGATCTAACTTTCATATTGAAACAGGCAAAATCTGGCTTTTCTAGACAATTATCGGGGTACATTTCGATGGCACATATGCTTCAATTTTGGTATGCTTCACCTTATGTTGTCTTATACAGTTATACTCTTATTTGATCGAAATAATCTATGTATTCTGTGCATTTGTATATAGAAGTTTACTTTAGCTCTTCAAATTAGTTTCTCTTCAGATCTGGGAAGCCATGAAAGATTCTGTTTTGACTTAAAAAGGACTAGTGTTTTCATTTTTTTTTCTTGAGGTATGTTTTAGATTTGTTGGTCTTGGTCCATTGATTATCAGCTATGGATAATTATTATCCCAATTGATATGAACATGTTCCCAGAATACCATGTTACTAACCTTTGGAATTTGAGAAGATAATCACTCCATTAGTGGAGATCACTATATATAGAGAGCCTCATGGGCCATATGGGCCTATATTAGATGGGCCTTCATATACTTAACACCCCTCTTCAAACTCAAGGTGGAAGTGGAGGATCTGAAACATTGAGTTTGAGCAAGTGAAGCCGATGCTGCTCTCGAGTCTGTGCTTTAGTGAAGAAATCAGCCAACTGCAGCTCAGAAGGCACATACTGAAGAGCAATGGTTTTCTGATGACAATGAGACCGAGTAAAGAAAGCATCAACACCAATATGTTTAGTAAGTTCATGTTTCACAGGATCATTGGCAATTTGTATAGCTCCTGTATTGTCACAGAGAAGAGGTGTGGCGATATCACAAGAAATCCCAAAATCAGCCAACAACCATCGGCCGTACAATCTCTCAAGTAGTAGTGGCAAGTGCTCAAAGTTCGCCCTCTGTACTAGAGCGAGAGATCTGTTGCCTACTTCTTGGACTTCCATGCAATAGGAGAGGAGCCAAGAAGGATACAATATCCTCTGTGATGGAACGACGACCCATTGGGTCACTCGCCCAAATGGAGTCCGAGTAAGCATGGAGTGAAGCGGACTATTACGGTCATAGAATAAACATCGAGATGGTGTCCCCTTAAGTACCGTAGTACACCAAGTAAATGCCCAAAATGAATGTAAGTGGGAGCACTCACTGGCCCGACTCAAAATATGGACCGCATGAGCAATATCCGGTCAGTAACGAGAAGATAAACAAGGCTACCCACAAGGTGTCTATATCTAGAGGGATCCGGAAGAGGTGTACCATCAGTAGGACGAAGTTGCAAGTGAAGATCCATCGTTGTAGCAGTCGTCTGATTGTCGGTGATACCGGAACGAGCAATAAGATCTTGTATGTACTTGGTCTGAGAAATATAGTATCCATTGGCACACCGCTTAACCTCAATGCCTAAGAAATAGTGAGAGGACCTAAATCGGACATTTGAAAGTGCTCACCAAGTCATTGTTTCACAAGAGAAATGTGTTCCACATCATCACCGTAATCAATATACCATTAACATATAGAAGAAGCAAAGTACGACCACGTGGTGAGAGATGAATAAATAGAGCAGGGTCATGATCACTAGGTGTGAAACCAGCTGTCTTTATCACTGATACAAAATGTTCAAACCAAGCAAGAGGATCCTGTTTAAGACCATATAAAACACGGCGAAGCCAACAAACAAGGCCTGGAGGAGCATCAACACCTGGAGGTGGTTGCATATAAACTTCTTCATTCAAATCACCATGAAGAAAAGCATTCTTAACATCCATCTGAGATATGGCCCAAGAAGATGAAAGACCAACTGCGAGTAAAGTACTGAACAGTGGTCATGTGAGCAACAGGGCAAATGTCTCGTCATAATCAAGTCACGAGTTTGCTAAAACCCGCGTGCAACAAGACGGTCTTTGTATCTCAATAGAACCATCTGACTTGGTTTTAATCTTAAAAACCCACTTACTGGTGATTGGTACAACATGTGAAGGTAGTGGGACAAGCTCCTAAGTGCCTTGAAGATCAAGAGCAGCAAGCTCCTCGGACATAGTAAGTCGCCATTCGGAATACTAGAAGCTTCTGATAAGTGGATGGCTCATCAACAACAACACTCGCGCACGTGGAAATCCCAACTTGTCGGGGAGGCGCAATAGTAGCACGATTTTGTAGATTATATCGTGGACCAACTCGTGTCTCATCGTAAATAGCACACGGCTCATCGTAATTAGTAAAATCAGCAACACTAGGAGCGCCAGGACTGGCTAAGGAAGTGGGAATACGATTTTTAGGACGACGAGAGTAGGTCTTTGTAATTGGTGGATGACGTGGTGGTGATGCAGGAAGGATGGGTGGCTGATTATCAACAAGAGGAGGTGATGGAGGTCGTGGTGGAGGTGTGTCTAGAGACAAAGGAATATGAATGAGTGGACTGGAAGGGGACACACATTGTGGACTGGCATCATCACAGCCTAAAATAGGAGGAAGGCACATAAAGGAGGTGGACTCTGTAGGAGCATATGATGACTTTGTTGAGGAGCTATAAAAGAAAGGACGATCCTCAACAAAGGTGACATCACGGGAGATACGTATACGGCGAGAAGAGGGATCATAGCAACGATAACCCTTGTGCTCAGGACTATCTCAGGAAAACACACTCAACCGACTGAGTAGTCAACTTTGTTCGCTCACGAGGAGCAAGCAGAACATAGCATAGGCATCCAAAAACTCGAAGATGATCATAGCGAGCAGGAGTCCCGAAAAGAACTTCACCAGGACACTTGCCAGACAATTTGGATGATGGTTGCCTATTAATAAGATACACAGACGTCGAAACAGCCTCTCCCCAAAAGTGTGAAGGAACAAAAGAAGCAATCAAAAGTGCGAGCTGTTTCTATCAGATGACGGTGTTTGCATTTAGCAACCCCGTTTTGAGCATGGGCACCAGGACACGAAAGCTGAGCAAGAGTACCCTTAGAGTCCAGAAACTGGCGAAAGGCAGTGGATAAATACTTTCCACCAGAATCAGAACGAAAAACTCGAATCGGGGTAGAAAACTGTGTGTACCATGCGAGCAAAGGTTTGGTAAATAGAGCACAATTGAGATCGAGGTTTCATGAAGTAAATCCAAGTATGTCGAGAATGATCATCAATGAAAATAACATAATATTTATGACCACCCTTTGTAGCAAAAGGTGCAGGACCCCATACATCAGAATGAATATGATCAAGGTTTAGCAGCATGAGAATCACTAATAGAATATGGGAGTTGTATCTGTTTCCCAAGCTTACAACCTTTACAATGGAAACTAGACTCGATGGATGTGGGACCTAAACAACCTTTATTTATTAAATTAGACAAACGAGACCCACATAAATGACCAAGACGGTGATGCCACTTGGCGAAGGACGAGGTAGATGGCGATGATGATGAAGCGGCTGATGACACATGAGCGGAAATGTGAGGAAGACGCAAGGTGTCGAGGACGTAGAGGCTAGGTGAGCCCCTACGGCGATGGCCAGTCCCAAGTACAGTCCCGGTTCGACAATCATAAAACAAGATGAGTCATCAAATCCAACAAAACAGTTATGGTCAGCAAGTTGACCAACAGAAAGAAGGTTCATATACAAATTGAGGTACAAAAGAGACATCAGGAACAGAAAAATAAGAATTGGAAAGAGAACCCTGATGTGTGATTGTAGAGACACACCTCACACCCAATATGGGGGGGGTGACCTTCATATATATAGCTAATATGGCTGGTTATACAAGGAATACAATCAAATATACATAGTAGGTGCTAATCATAGCTAATCACACATAGACTTGCCTAATACCTGCCCGCAGTCTAAGTGGGAGGATCCCGGATGCATAGATCGGGACTGAATTCATAAATAGTATGCACAGAAGGCCCTTGGTCATGATGTTCATGAATCGTGAGAGGACGGCACATGAAGGACCTGAACTTGTCCCAAGGCGACCTTCTCACGGACGAAGTGAATATCAATCTCAATGTGCTTCATGCGACGATGATGAACGGGATTGGTTGTCACGTAGACAGCGTTGACATTGTCGCAGTAGACAACCGTCGCCGAAGCAATGGGAACATGGAGCTCCTCGCAGAGTCGGGCGTGACCAAAGCAACACTCGGCCACCACATGAGCAACAACACGATACTCGCTTTTTGTAATTGGAGCGGGAGACCGTGGTCCGACGCTTGGAGGACCAAGAAATCAGATTGTCGCCGAGGTAGACACAATAGCCGGAGGTGGAGCGCCGAGAGTCTGGGCAGCTAGCCCAGTTGGCATCGATGTAGGTGACCAGTGACTGAACAGGGCCGACACCAATGTGGAGGTCGGAGGAGAGAGTGCCCTTCAGTAGCGCGAGAATCCGCTTGATCATCGAGAGGTGCGGCTCACGGGATCATGCATGAAGAGGCACACTGCTTGACGGCGATGCCAAGTCAGACGGTCGCCGTGAGGTATGGAGAGGCGCCAAAGAAGGCTCCGCAGACGCGGACGGATTAGCAACAGGGGCACCGGCGGTGGCAGAAAGCTTGGCATGAGTGTCAACAGGTGTCGTCGTAGAGTGACACTCAGCCATGCCGGCGCGTTGAAGGAGCTCAACGGCGATCGTCATTTGTGATAAGAACAAGCCGCCGACGGAGCGAGTGACGAGATGCCGAGAAAGTGATGGAGTGCGCCAGTCAATCATGGCAAACTTAGAGTGGAGGTCAGACAGAGCAAGAGTTTGGTCAGACAGAGCGAGAGTCTCTTTGGATGGGGGTGGGAGATCGCTAAATGATGCAGGAGCCGATCTCGTGTCAGAGAGGATCCGTCATGCGCCGGGGGACGCCTTGGTGAGACAAGCCGGATGTCTCGAAAGTCAGTGCAATGGCGTGAACAACAGACTAGAGCCGGACACCATTTGGAGGGCAACATTGGAGGAGCAGATTGGAGCCGGGGTAGCTACTGGAGGAGCAAAGCAGGAAGTACAGGCCGTGGAACAAGATCGGGGTCGTCGGTCAGCTCCTCAATGAAATCAGGATGTGACGGCCCAAAGAAGAGAGGGCAAGGTGCAGGGACGACCCAAGACCGTAGTACTACCGCAAGCAAAAATCCGTGTCGCTTGGCGAGGACACCGAGGGGTAAAGCCCAAAGGAGAACAAGTCTCATCAAGACCACATGGCGAGAGATGATGACGCGCTTAGTGGCCATGTCGAGGCAGTGGTACCCCTTGTGGGAAGAGGGATAGCCGAGAAAAACACATGCTGTGGAGCGAGGAGAGTTTGTGGCGAGCCGT